TGGAAGACACATGGCTCCCTTTCAGAGTGCAGAATAAAAACAAGGAATTAGTGTCCACACCAGAACGCCCTGGGTTTCAAAACTCCTCTTTGACTACCTAACTCACTGTGCTCTATGCAGAAACAGACGTTTGATGATTGTTCATTACGTAGAATGGACTGGGGAGAGGCTTCACTGGTAGGATGCTTGCTGCACAAGCATGAGGACCCGAGTTGGATCTCCAGGACCCCTGTAAAAATGTGCACATCTGTAATCCCAGCACCAGGGAGACAGAGACAGGTGGGTCCCTGGGGTTTGCTGACCAGCCAGCCTGCCCCAGTCAATAAGCCCCAGGTTCCAGTGCGAGACCCTGTTTCAAAGGAGGTAGACAGATATTCCTGAGGATGACACCCAAGGTTGTCCTCTGTTGCCTACCCACAAGGGGACACATGCATACACAAGCACAAATGTGCACGCACACACATGAAAGTCTAAGCTTTAGAATTAAGTTGGATTTGCATTCTAATCTGGTCACTGCAATATTAAGTTGGATGCATCACCCCAGTCCCTGGCTTGGGAGTTGCCTTGGGCCAGACTCCACCTCCAGAAAAGCCCACCAAATGCTGACTCCTCCCCAGGGAGGGTCAGGACCACTCCCATAGGCTATTTAGGCTTGTGCTGGAAAAAGGATCATGTGGTCCTTTTGCGTGTTTTCTCCCTCTCTGTCCATGCTCCCGACCACCCAGGAGTGCTGCATTTATTAAATGGGAGCATCTTTGATTTGGTCTAATCTGGTCTGATTAAAGTTATTTTGTGTCAGAGAAGAGGCTCGTCTTAAGATTGTCATAACAGTCCCTTCTTAACTGTACAGATTTTGTTAGAAATAACTATTTTGTTCTCTAATCAGTGAAATATTGATATCGTTTCTGCTTTCTGAAGCTGTGCCGGTAAAATGGTACACACATAATGCAACAAGAATATAGCAAACCAGGGCCAGCATTTAAAATAAAATACTCTCACTAAGTTATAAATTTGAAGGTTTTATCCTTTTCGTAGTTATGCTTACATTTTAATGTATGCCTTTTATGAATTAAGTAAGTGAAACATGTGATAGTCTTAATTCTTTCCCCCAGAGTGTTGTAATTATTTGGGTGTTGAGAAGCTTTACTTAAGGGTCCACCCATTATTTTTTCTCCTTGCTTATTTCCAAAGAACTTATTCCTGAGAACACTGTACTTTAGAATGTGAATGCTTAGAGTAATCATTGTTGCTCTAAGCTGGGTGATGAAGATAGGTTTTGACACTTTGCAGAGTCCATTGTTCTATCTAGAAAGAAAGCTACAGTGTTCATTTAACACACTTTTAGAGAACTCTTTCAAAGATTTCTCAGAGCTCCCTATCTGGTTTTGACTCAAGCTACCTATAGTGTGGAGGCCAAAAACTGCAGGCCCGTGTCCACCTTGTCTGATGGTCAGAGAGTTTGGAGATTGACAAGCATGGTTGCCAGTCCCAACTCAGGATGTGACTGCTTGGTTCTTTTGAAATTAAGATAGCCTGAAGTCATCCTGACAGGTGGTCAGGATACAGATGTACTTCTGCTCCTTCTTTTGTTGGTGCGGGAGAATTGTCTGTATTCTGTCAATCATGTTTTAAATAAACGCTGATTGGTCAGGCAGGAATTATAGGTGGGAAAACCAGACAGGAAGTAGAGGTGATACAATGAGAACACGAGAATTCTGTGAGGGAGGAAGCTGATTCCTCCCACTCCTGCCCAGATCACCGAAGCAGTAAAATGTGATCTGTACCACTGAAAAAGGTACTGAGCCATATGGCAAACGTAGATCAGAATAATGGGTTAATATAAGCTACAAGAGCTAATAAGTAGCCTGAGTTAATGGGCTAATCAGCTTTATAACTTATAGAGATCTCTGTGTGATTTCCTTTGGGGCTAAACAGCTGTGGGAACCAGGCAGAACAGAAAACCCCAACAAACAGGCGCCCCTTTGTGTTACATTTTGTAACTATGAGGTCACCTAGGGAAGGGCGGTCTTCAGAATTCACGACCTAGAGCAGTTTTGCTTACTAGACAACAGAATACTAATGATTTGATGTCTCAGAGTGATGAAGGGATTGACTGTGTGTGTTAACCTTTGTATCATGTTAATAAAGTCTTTTCTTGTGCCCCCCCCATTTATGTCGGGTATAAAAGTTGTGGAAAAATAAACATGGATGGTTCAGTAATCACTGGCATACCCTCCTGGTATTATATCATATGTTTTATGTCTTATTATTTTTATGTGTCATCATATTCTTTACTTATATTTCTTCAATTCCCATGCCCCTATCCTGGCAAGAGGTGATTTTTTTCAAGGCCAGTCCTTGACACTATGGCCTGGCAGAAGAAAAGTATGGAATGAGGTCACAGAAAGCTCTGAGGGAAGACATGAAGGCCCCACTGATATCACTTCTCAGTCTCTGCTGGGCCCTTACATACTTAAGCTATGGTACAGTTTTTACCATCGAGTATGAGAAACACACTTGATGGTTTTAAAACACTCCACCTTTGTGAGACTTCTAAACTCTAGGATGTTTTTGTTTGTTTTTGAGAAATGATCCCATTATACTGGCCATGTTAACTTGGAACTGGGAAGCCTTGAGCCCAAAACCTCTTGCTCACCCTTCCAAGTTTACAGGTGTGAGTCACTACAGAATGCTATCAACTCCAGTACGTTTAAATACTGTTAGATTTCAACAAACTCCTATAGGAGACCCTTTCCTATAATCTCTGCATTGGGCAACATGGTGTTTGGTGAACTAAGTAAGCAAGAATCAAAGGATTTTCAACAAATCAAACATTTGTGGAAAACAAGATTCCTCTTCAGAATATCATACTAACCTGTAAGGAACCATGAGCAAACTTCAGGAAAGACTGTCAGCATTGGGTGTAACAAACACTCCCACAGCTGGCCCACCATCAAAGACAGAATTTCAGGTGAGGGGCTTCGCCAGCCAGGTACAGCAGCTATGGGAATAGATAGTTCAGGCCAGGACTCTGCTAACCAGACCTGAACACAGTTAAACTTCAGAGCTCTTCCCTTGAGGAACTGCAACTTGCCCCCCCCCTCTCTGTCCTAAGTGTTCCCACCTGTCCATCAGCAGCACCCTGGGGTACAGGATTGCTCTGATGGTATCACCTGGATTAGGGGCTTCACAAACCGGGGTGCACAGTGACACACCTTAAATAATCCTAATTCCTAGAGCTGTTCTCAAAGATGTTCAGCTTGTCCTGGGCACAGCTTCACCCTCCGGATTTTGTTTTGTTTTGTTTTTAATGATTCCATGTGATTCCTATGTGCAGATCATTTGGGGTATCATTGGTTATATTTTACAGCACGTAACAAATCTTTGTCTTAGGGTCTATTACATCTTTTTGAATTTCATTTTATAGCAGGACTAAATCCTAAAGTAGAATTCAAAGGAGGTCCTTGGTACATAACCTGAATCAGGACTAAGAAAGCAACTCCTCACCCAGACAAGATCTAAAAAGGATCAGTCAGGCTCCCTAGACTCTGTATTGTTTGAGAGAGCTCTCCCAGGCTGGCCTCTGAAGAGTCCAAGAATAAAAAAAAATAAAAATTTAGAATCCAGAAATAAAAATGTAAAAATAAAGAAATATAAATTTATAAGTCTAGGAGAATGAAAACAGACTCTCAGCAGCTTTCTCAGCAGATCAAGGAACACAGTGAGTTATTATCTCAGATGCTTGGGAAGCATCCATTAGCTTAGGTCATTCCATTTTACAACTGGATGCTTTATTTACAAGGCCAGAGTTGTTCCCTGCAAATTGAGAGTAGTGTCCTGGCCATCCCTGATAAACGACAGATGTGAACTGGGTTAACCTTTAGGAGACAGAGATATGTGACCTCTGGGTTAGACACTGTCTCTGTTATGGAAAACTGGCGCCACCAAAGGAGAGGCATGGGCACCAGTATACATTGCCTGGAGGTACTAGGAGACAGTGGACAAATACAATGGTTTAATTAATGAGCTTTGATAATGGAAGTTGTAAAGTATGGCAGTCAGTATCTGAGTTTTTCCTTGAGATAGTGTGAAAAGCTTTCTGTTATCTTCTAAGTTCCCAGCCTAAGAACCAATTAATTCTAATTTATTAATCTTCTGGTATTACTAACAGTCCCTTTTCTCACTAATTGCTAAAGACACCTGTTTTCTTGCAATTAGTGACTTTTGCTGTAATCTACATATTTCATGACAGCTACTTAGTTACCCATTGGTGTTAGACTCACACCCCTCCTTAGGGTCTACCTTGACTGACCTGTGGTGTGTGTGTGGGGGGGCAAGGTCATAGAAATTCCTTTGTTCATACCTAATACTTGGTGCCCTACCTATAAAAGGTGGGTTCAGAAACTAGCCTTTTGCCACAGCCTAACAAACACCATCTCTGGCTGTGGTCTCAGCTAGCTGATAAGCTTCTGTGCCCTGCAGTGTTTTTTATTTTTAAGTTTGCTTCTGTTTTTTTTCTGGGATCTGGTTTCTGGAATAAAGTTTGTTTCTGGTTTATTAGACTTGATGGTGTTCTCTTCTTTGTGCCATTCCCCTGGACCCAACAGCCTCCAGCTCTCTTTTAGTCTAGTCTTGTCTTCTTGGCTCATCTCCTACTTTCCGTTTTGACACCATGGAGAGGCCTAGAAGACAACTTACTTGTGTCACTGGTTCCCACCCTTCATCTGACATCTTGCAGCTGAAGTTACAGAGGTCCTGGGTGTGCCCTGTTCTCCCACTGCTCTCCCACTGACCCAGAAATTCCACCGCGCCTACCCCTGCTTTAGAAAACACACAGTCCCTCTCCAGACACATAACTCATAGCAGGTCCACCCCAAGGCAGGGTCCCCAGGGTGACGCTCAAATCACGTCCACGCCACGGAGGGAACGCCCTCTGCACGTGGGCCGCCCCACCCATGGTGACAAGAGCCCCGCCCAACCCCTCAAGTAACCGAGGCGGGAAACAGCTCCAGCCGCAGCCGGACTCTCTCTCTCACTCTTACCTGGGGCAATGGGCCCTGGGACTCGGTCCTCACCATCGCCGCCGTCGCCGCTGCTGCTGTCCCTGCTGCCGCTGCTGCTGCTGCTGTCCCCGACCGTGCGGGGTGAGTGGCCAAGAGCTGGGCGCCACCGGTAATGACTGAGCAGCGGCCGGCAGGGAGTGCGCATGCTCGTCAGGCATTGTTCCCCGTAATCCGCCCCCCTCCCCCCCCCCAGCAGGTGCCCGTGGCCAGCAGGAGGGATGGGTGTGGAGTGCTGGGCTGTCTGGGCTGCGACTGGATCCCATGACCCAAGACCGGGTCAAAAGAGAGAGCTGAGTGCGAATCTCCAGCCTTGCTCCGGGTTCTTTAATTCTCAAGGTGGATGACCGAATGCGGACCATCTGTGCCCTTGAAGAGTTCATCAACAAGCAGCGTCAGGCAACATACATTCTAGTGTCTTAACTTGAGCCTAGCCGTGGTATCGGAGTGGAGGACATCCTGAACCTCTTCTTTAGGGGTAGCGAATATTTACTTTTACTTAATTTTGTATTGTGTTGGTGAGAGCCTAGGCGTTGCAAGTTCCTGTTGGGAAGGTTGAGCAAGGGGAGGAAGTAAAGAGCCATTGCTGCTTTCCTTATTCCAGGTGTGGGGAAAGAAAATCCTGTCGGGGGAGGGGAGGGTGTCTACTTTACATCTGCTCTCATCTTCCTAGGTGACTGCGGCCCACCTCCAGAAATACCTAATGCCACGCCAGAGGTGGATGGAAAAACCAGTTTTCCCGAACAAAGCTTTGTGGTATATTCATGTAATAAAGACTATCGAAAAATTCCAGGCAAGCAAGACACAGTGTCCTGTCAAAATGATCAATGGTCGAGTCTGGACACATTCTGTAATAGTAAGTTCTTCATTTCTTTTTAGAAATGTTATGGGACTGTGTATCTTGTTGAGGTTATTTTTACTCCTCTTTGGAGTGACTGGTAATTGATAGTTTTCTAGCATTATTAACCCCCAGAGTATACGTGTTGGCAGTTCACACTCCAGCTAATTGAAGGCGGTACTTCCTATAGCAGGTCCTGCTTCTTCATTAAGAGTTTTTCTTTCTATTGCACAGGCTAATAGAGAAAATAAATGATAGGTCCTTGGCAAGTACCTTGAGACACACACCCAGGTGATCTGCCTTCTTCAACTTCATTTTGTTAAGTAAAGAGTACAACTCTTAGGAGACATTTTAAGATCTTACTTTTAAAAAAATATTAAGTAAAATACTGGCAAATCGAATCCAAGAACACATCAGAACTATCATCCACCATGATCAAGTCGGTTTCATCCCAGAGATGCAGGGATGGTTCAACATACGGAAGTCTGTCAACAAACTGAAAAATAAAAATCACATGATCATCTCATTAGATGCTGAAAAAGCTTTTGGCAAAATACAACATCCCTTCATGATAAAGGTCTTGGAGAGAGCAGGGATACAAGGAACATACCTAAACATAATAAAGGCAATATTCAGCAAGCCAACAGCCAACATCAAACTAAATGGAAACTCCCAGCAATTCCACTGAAATCAGGAACAAGACAAGGTTGTTTACTCTTTCCATATCTATTCAAAATAGTTTTTGTGGTCCTAACTAGAGCAATAAGACACCAAAAGGAGATCAAGGGGGATACAAATTGGAAAAGAAGAAGTCAAACTCTCACTGTTTGCTCATGATATGATAGTTTACATAAGCAATCCCCAAAATTCTACCAAAAAACTTCTATGACTCATAAATACTTTCAGTAATGTAGCAGGATACAAGACTAACTAAAAAAAAAAAATCAATAGCCCTCCTGTACACATGATATAAGGGATGGGGAAGAAATCAGAGAAACAACACCTTTCACAATAACCACAAATAGAATAAAATATCTCAGAGTAACTCTAACCAAAAGAGTGGAAGACTTGTATGACAAGAACTTTAAATCTATGAAGAAAGAAATTGAAAAAGACACTAGAAATTGGAAAGATCTCCCATGCTCTTGGGTAGGCAGAATTAACATAGTAAAAATGGCAATTTTACCAAAAGCAATCTACAGATTCAACGCAATGCCCAGCAAAATTCTTCACAGACTTCGAAAGAGTGATACTCAACTTGATATGGAAAAGCAAAAAAAACCCAGGATAGCCAAAACAATCCTGTAGAATAAAAGAACTTCTGGAGGCATCACAATCCCTGATTTCAAACTCTACTATAGAGCTACAGTACTGGTATTTGCATAAGCTACAGCCTGGAATAGGCATAAGAACAGACAGGAGGACCAATGGAACCAAATCAAAGTCCCAGATATTAATCCACACACCTTCGAACACCTAATTTTTGACAAAGAAGCGAAAAATATCAAATGGAAAAAAGAAAGGATATTTAACAAGTGGTGCTGGCATAACTGGATATCAACATGTAGAAGAATGAAAATAGATCCTTATCTATCACCATGCACAAAGCTCAAGTCCAAAAGGATCAAAGAATTCAACATAAATCCAACCACACTGAACCTCATAGAAGAGAAAGTGGGAAGTACACTTGAATGCATTGGCACAGGAGACCACTTTCTAAATATAACCCCAGCAGCACAGAGAGAAACAATTAATGAATGGGACCTCCTGAAACTGAAAAGCTTCTGTAAAGCAAAGGTCACAGTCAACAAGACAAAATGACAGCCTACAGAATGGGAAAAAAATCTTCACTAACCCCACATCAGACAGAGGTCTAATCTCCAAAATATACAAAGAACTCAAGAAATTGGTCATCAAAAGAACTAATAATCTAATACAAAAATGGAGTACAGACTTAAACCAAAAACTCTCAACAGAAGAATCTAAAATGGCTGAAACACTTAAGGAAATGTTCAACATCCTTAGTCATCAGAGAACTGCAAATCAAAACAACTCTGAGATTCTATCTTACACCTGTAAGAATGACCAAGATCAAAAACACTGATGACAACTTATGCTGGAGAGGTTGTGGAGAAAGGGAACACTTCTGCATTGCTGGTACAACCCCTTTGGATGTCAGTGTGGTGATTTCTCAGAAAATTAGGAAACAACCTTCCTCAAGACCCAGCAATACCACTTTTGGGTATATATCCAAAGGATGCTCAATTGTGCCACAAGGACATATTCTCAACTATGTTCATATCAGCATTGTTTGTCATAGCTAGAACCTGGAAACAACCTAAATGCCCTTCGACCAAAGAATGGATGAGGAAAATGTGGTTCATTTACACAATGTAGTACTACACAGCAGAAAAAAATAACATCTTGAATTTTTCAGGAAAATGGATGGAGCTAGAAAACATTATTTTGAGTGAGGTAACACAGACACAGAAAGACAATTATCACATGTACTCACTCATAGGTGGTTTTTAAACATAAAGCAAGGAAAACCAACCTACAAACCACAATCCCAGGGAACTTAGACAACAATGAGGACACTAGGAGAGACTTATATGTATCTGGTCTTCATGGGAAGTATTAAAAGGCAGAATCTCCTGAGTAAATTGGGAGCATGGGTACCTTGTGGGAGTGCTGCAGGGGAGAGGCAGGGAGGGGAGCAGAAAAAATGTAGAGCTCAATAAAAATCAATAAAAAAGAGTTTTTCTTTCTAATGCATAGTCTAATAGAGAAAATAAATGATAGGTCCTGTTCAGGGAGTAAATTATATGTGAATATATTTGGCAAGTACCTTGAGACACACACCCAGGTGATCTGCTTTCTTCAACTTCATTTTGTTAAGTAAAGAGTACAACTCTTAGGAGACATTTTAAGATCTTACTTTAAAAAAATCTGTTGTACATATAGCCCTATGTTAGCTTTAAGATGCAGTTTGTAGGTGATTCTGGCGTATCTGAACACAGCACAGGGATTCAGAACTGGATGGTGTCTGCCACCCAGGTTCCGTGGTGTTGCCTGTTACCTGTTCTCTCACTATTAGCCTGTGTAGCATGTTCCTCTGCATTGGCATTTGTAGCTCATTAGGGACAGAGGAGTGGCCCTCAGGGCATAAGGCATTACTGCCCACTACTTAGGCTTTACAGACACTGTACACCGAGGCCATGCTAATTTTCTTTATAAAGTAATGAACTAGCACTAGTTTTTTTGTTTGTTTGTTTTCACCATATCTTTTTGTTTGTTTGTTTGTTTGACTGTATTTTGCTCAGGCTGACCTGAACTCATGGACTCTCAAAATCCTCCTGCCTCAGCCTGCAGGAACCACATTTATGTATGTGGCCCATCATGGATCAGAATATCATTCTGTGACTGCAGAAAAGTAGAGATAAAAGACTGGATTGCTGCCTTTGAGTGACCTGAATTAGGAGAAGCTACAGTAAATTCAGAATCATTCAAAACGAATTCTTGAAACCATACGTGAAACAGGCTCTACAGTTGTATTTTCAGCCGCTGTTGAAGGCAAGAAAGCAACCAGCCTTTACCACGCTTTAGAGTTGGTAACTCTCCCTCAGTATTGCTTCACCTAATCCTTCAAGTCACCCCATGAATTATGGATGTGGGGACTCTTCTCAGTTTCAAAGTTAAGGAAATCTTCTGCCAGAAGCTAAATAATGTGCACAAGACAAGGATCTCTTATGCCAAAAAACCAGGCTTCAAGCTTGGGCCTCGGGACTACTGAGCCACCATTTCTTTCTCTACTCCTTGCCTTGCGAGAACTCATTGCTCCACTGTTTACACATGGTGCATGCTTGATGTACAGCTGGTTCATCTGGCCCTCGTTACCAAGGGCTGCTGTAACATTAAATAAGTAAGTGTGTGTAAAACACTTAGGAATATTCAATCAATACAAGATATTTTTATTCCTATTATTATTATTAACATTTAATGGGGAAACTTAGATACTTAGTAGCCAGGAAATGGAGGCATGCATATGAATACACTTGATATACTGCAAATACCACAGCGATATTTTTTTAAAAAAAATGAATATATAAAGAGGTAAGGATCCATACTAAAAAATAAGTAAATAGTTAAATGAAACTAGGGTGCTTTAACTGCCAGATATTATGAGATGTCGATTATTTTATAATCTGTGTTGTTACTTTTTCTGTCATTTTGTTAATCCTTTTAGAAAGCTGCAGTGCTCCAACAAGAGTGACTTTTGCATCCCTCAAAACGGAATATATCAATGTGAATTATTTCCCGATTGGTAGCACTGTGCAATATGAGTGTCGGCCAGGATATCAAAGAGTACCTTCACTGTCAGTTAAATCAACTTGCCTTGATAATTTAGAATGGTCCACAGTTGCTGAATTTTGTAAAAGTGAGTATAATTTGAAAAAGTAATCCCAGTCATCTGTATTTGTGGAAATATCTCTTCCATTTGTGCTAGAAATATATGTGTGTATACATATATGTACATATATATGTATACTTATATATACACAGGTACATATATTCACATATATACACATACATATCGTATGTGCTGGAAATACACACACACACGTATATATTATATATATATATATAAATGATTCTTCAAATAATCAATGAATTTTGTTTTTGTTTTTCAAGACAGAGTTTCTCTGTGTAGCCTTGGCTGTCCTGGAACTTTCTCTGGTGACCAGACTGGCCTTGAACTCAGAGATCTGCCTGTTGCTGCCTCCAGAGTGCTGATATTAAAGGTGTACTCCACCACTGCCCAGCTGAGTGTTTTTTTAATTAGACAAATGTTTACATACTAGGAATACTTACACACAGATTTCATGTTTACTTAAGGTTACCTAAAATGATGATATACTCTATGTTGCTTTTGAGGCAACAACAAAAAAAATGAATGTAAAATTTAAAAATGTAAGGGTTAGAAATATCAGTGACTTAGAGGATGATTTTGGGTATGTGTCTCATATTTATTTTTTTCCCGCTGTCCTAAGTTATAATTAGAAAGTAAAAATCATGTAAATTCAAGGTGCAGATTATTTCATAAAAATATCTTTATTGTTTGTGTGTATATGTTTTTCATGCATGCATGTATGTGCTAATAAGTAGGTATGACTGTCCATGTTTATGGTATATGTGTTTGTGGTCAGAGGACATCCCTAGGTGTCAGTCCTTAGGTGCTTTGGCCTGGGACTTCACCGCATAACCGTGATGTCCTCTCCCTCCCTCCCTGCTGGCTTTGAGGTTCTGTTTCCTATCATCACTGAGAATATAGGTGTGTGTCGTTGTGTCCCAAACAATAAGCAAGCACGTCGTTTACTGAGACATTTCCCCAGGCCCTTAATGTTCTTTTGTGTTTGCTTCTATGTGTATACATATTTCTCTCTCTCTCTCTCTCTCTCTCTCTCTCTCTCTCTCGTATATGTGTGTGTGTGTGTGTGTGTGTGTATACACGTGTACACCAAAGGACCACCTTGGGTGTCATTCTTCGGGTACTGTTTACCTTATATCCAGTCAGGATCTGTCATTGGCCTGGGGCTTCCCTAGGAGCCCTGACTGACTGCACAGTGAACCCCAGGGCTCTGCCTGGCTCTGCTGCCAAGTGCTTGATACCATGGCCAGCTTTTTATGTGTGTCCCGAGGATCTAAGCCAGGCACTCGCCCTTACATAGAAAGAACATTACCAGCCCAGTCTTCTCTCTACTTTCCCCCCCATTTAAATTTTGTTTCTTAAGTTCGAATGGAACTCATGTGTTTCTCTGGGGTATTTTCATACATCGGGTCGTTTTACTTTGTCTTATTCCGCTCTCACTGTCTCTCCCCTTCCTGCTGGTTCCTGATCCCGGGTCTTCTGTCCCTCTGCTGTCACGTTCCATGTAGACCTTTACTTTTCCTCATCGCTACTCCCCTTCAGACCACGTCTTCCCCACTCACTGTGATCATTGTGTGTGTGTATACACACATATATATGACTACTGTTACCGTCTTAATCCATTAACATATTCAGTACAGTTAGACCTGTGTTTTATTTATGTCTAGTAATTGAATGAAAAAAGAAAAAAGTTGATTTTTTTCTTTTATTTTTAGGAAAATCATGTCCTAATCCTGGAGACTTGCAAAATGGTAATATCAACATACCAACGGACATATTATTTGGTTCAGGAATATATTTCTCATGCAACACAGGGTAATTTTCATCACACTAAAGCTTTAAGTTTAATTAATGACAACAAATTAGGGGTTCAGTAGACAATGATAGATTTGTGACCTGTTCACTAGTTGGTAGCAAAATAATCCCCCATAGTGAGAGTGGGGGTGATATGAACAGTGCATAGTGATGCACACTCATGTAAATGCGCATAGAGATGCACACTCATGTAAATGCACATAGGGATGCTCATGCATGTAAATGCGCATAGCGATGCTCATGCATGTGAATGTCAGAAGGAAAGCTATTGAAAATAAGTGGAAAGACATAATGCCTTTTCCAAAGAACCCTTGCCATAAGCTAATTGTAAATTTAGTATCGGTAATGTGGGCCAGGAAAAGATTTTTATGCTTCTAACGTCTCTAGATTATTAGATTCCAATATGTTTGTAATTATAAATATGATTAGTGAAGAAACAATTGAAATTTGTTGATGATACAAAAATAACAATCTTTACAGTGTTAAAAATCAAGCCAATTTTAAACTGACTTAAATATTAATTTGCATCTGAGTTTTTGTATGCAGACACACTGTGAGGTCATGGGCTTAAAAATGCTGAGTGTGAAGATGCTCCTCCTAATAGAAGGTCGCTAGGGCTTTTTTAGCTCTTTGTGTAAACAAGCAAGTTCTTTAATTAATGCCGTCAGTGTCTCAGGCAGTGGGAAACTTCAGTTCATTTCTTTGTGTTTCCAAGCTAGGTTGCCGCTCCCCCACCACCACCACTTTATATCAGGTAGAGGCAGCACTGAGTTTAGTGGGTCCCGAGGAGCACATGGAATTAGGGGAGAAGGGTACCTAGTGGACCTAGAGGAGGGGTTGGAAGCGGAGGAAGTGGTTTTGGAGCTGATCAAACTCCTTACAGTCATACGTAAAGTTCTCAGAACGTCTTCTTAAAAACAAATGAAGCAAAATGCATTTCCAACTTTAAGACAGGAAAGAGGTAGGAGCGCTTTGCCGCTGCCTTTATTAAACAGAGATTCGGTTGGGTCAGGAGTTTACCATAGTGTAAGCTCTTGCCGTGCTATGCCATGAACACTTTAAATATAAATGCACTCTGTTATTCATGAAGCCTGTTCGTTTAGAATTTAGAATAAAGGGTTTCATCAAACATGATTTTAGAAGGTTTTCTTCCTTTAAGTATTTTCTATATAGTAAGCTAACGAAGCATTTTGCATGTCTGGAAGTCTTGCCGTTTCAGTATCATTTCCGTGAACTAAACAGTTTTCTTTTAAATTTCAATGGACATGTTTATCAGCTGTCATTTTGTCTCCGTCTTCTGGTATACTCAATCTTTTAAAATAATGGACTGGAGAATGAAAAAAACCAAACTTAAGGATCTGACTTTAGCAGCCTTCTCTTCTCCTTAGGTACAAGCTAGTTGGTGTAGACTCTGTCTTCTGTTACGTTACGGAAAAGACTGTCGAATGGAGTGACCAATTCCCAGAGTGCATAGGTACGTTTCCTTTTGAAAAGCCTGAGTCCTCACATTGTGGGGCCAAAGGATTAATGAAATCAATTATTTCTCATTTAAGAATTATTCACAGCCTGTATTTGTGGTACTACAACTTTTCAGTGTCTCTACTAATGACAGGCTTAATTTATCAGCAATGGGAGGGCTCCTAAAGCTACCTCTTAGCATTAATATCCTTAACTACATGATAATTTCATTAAGAATTAAGAACTGACTTTGATTTACATTATACTTGGTCATTTGCTGTCTAACCGTTCCTTGTCATAATCAGAGAAGCAGGAGATCTCCCAGTTTCATGGAAGGAAATGTCCCTCAGAGTCCCCACGGTTTCATCTCTCAAAAGTGTGTCCCATCAAGGCATTTAATATAGGTCTTTTACCACAAATGTTCTTCCTCTAAGACCCAGTGTTGCCTACCTGAATCTTTCTAGAGTTGGTTATCAGCTGAGATAATTACCTAGAAGGTTTTAAAGTAGGACGTTTTTATCATTAGAGGAATCCAGTCACCTGTAGGGCTATTAGAGACATGGCTCCCTTTAAAAACTGAGAGAAGGGAGATGCCTGCAGTTTGTTTATTTGTTTGAGGGCTAGGTTTCTGGTCCTCAGGTATGCTGAGGCCACTAAGTCCCACTAAGCCCCAAAATGTAGACTCCATTCCTTTGATATTTAACTTACACCTTCTTCAAATGACTTCTAAAAATGGTTTTGAAATTAATGCTAAGTCCTGTGTGTGTGTGTGTGTGTGTGTGTGTGTGTGTGTGTGTGTAACTAGGAGGATAGCTGAACAGACAGTCCTTTGTGGACTGACCCTCTGGTGGAATCAGTTGCCATGAAACACCTCATAGGAAGCCTGCTGTCCAGAAGCTCACTCCCGTGACACCCATCGTGGGCCCACCCTGCTAACCCACCATGTCATTTCCACTCACTACCATCGTTATGTCCCACTCATAGTGAAAGGCTTTGTAACGACACTAAAAGATGAGGCTGAAAGAGGATCTGGAATACATAGTTTGTTGGCCCAGACAAGCTGGCCTAAAGCCTGGATAGGCGGTTTTCCAGGCTGAAGCCAGCATTTTTGCTAGCAGATGCTGCCACAGGGCCACAGAAAAGTGCCCGTCAGGGATGCGCCCTAGTGCAGAAGTGTTTGCAGAGAGCCCACGTCCTGTTTGTGCTCTACCCAAGCAACAGCCTGTTTTCTTCTTGACTCTCAGCCACCTCCCCATCAGCAGCTACTGATAGCCACGTTCCCCTGGGAAATCCCTTGTCCCTGGGCAATCCAGTGTTACTGCCTATTCCTGCAATCCCAAGTGCGAGACTCTATTTTTGATTTCCACATTAATTTACTTTTTTTTTGATTTTGTTTTTGACATCACCAAAAGGAAAAATGGAAAGTAAATTCTTCTTTTTCCCCAAACATAGCATTTTTATTAATTATTTGGGAATTTCATACAATCCACTCCGATCACATTCACATTCACTTCCCATTCCTCCCAGATCTAACCTCCCACCCTTGCAGCCCTCCCCCTCAAAAAAAAACAACAAACAACACCCAGTCCAATTTGTGTTGCCCATATACTTGCTGGAGCATGACCAGCCCCTTAGAGAAGACGGAGTCCTCTGAAGAGTAGCTCTGCACAGGTGATTGGAGGTGAACTGCTAGCTGGTGACAGTTCAAGTGTGCAGCCTTGGTACTTAGATGGGTGAGGGTGCCCTGGTCGCCAGTGTGACTCTGGTCAGTGGAAAATGACTGAGCAATGATGGGCACATTCAAGGATCGTCTTTAGTTAAATGCCAACACAGCATGGGCAGGGGGCGGACATGACTGAATGAAGCCTCACTCTCGGGAGGATCTGCTCTTCCTATCTCACTGTTGTTACTTTATTATTTCTTTAGGATTAATTTCAGCTAACTGATGGTACCTGCACCTTTGATCAATGCCTCTCTACTATGGCTGTCTTCCCAGACAGTCCTCTTTGTTTTAGCTTCTTTAAGGTATTTTTCTTTACTACTTCCACAATATGTGGAAGTACTTGCTGTGTCTTACTCCCTTCTGTGTTACTTCTAATACCATTTATTTCTCTTCATCTGGACTCTTGTACTGAGGACTACTCCTAACATTATTAAGACCAAGGTTTGAATATTAACAATGACCCATGGCCCCAAAGCTACTGTTCCCTTTCCTACACAACTGTGAGGCTCCTGGATCCTCTGGCACACATAAGAATGCAGCAAATCCTATACATTCGAGCCACGTCTACCATGAACTTAATGCTGACTTCATTGTCCTTTGCACTAGAAATGAGTACACTACCAACAAAGACCGCCCTCAAGAATGGGAGCTAGCAGAAAGAACCCAGGAGGAGGAGCTGGCACAGGAGATTCTTGACTTTGAGTGTGTCCTACACTGGAGGAATGGGTGGTAGGATGGGCGGTCACTGGACATATTCACTAGTCCTATAGATACTTCAGTTAGTACAAGAAAGCCGCAGTAGGGCAGAGCACACCTTTTAAATGTGGGGTCTGTGTAGGAACCTCAGTAGGTAGAATTCCCGGGTTTGGAGAATGGGCTTTCCTTGTATCTCATTACTACTTCATTCATAGTCTGCCCAGGGTGATGCTTCTGAAACACAGATGTTCCATGTATTTTCCTTCTTCAAGCTTATCAGAATGTCTGAGCAATTAGAGATCTAAGCTTCTAGTGGTGTCGAAGGCAGGCAAACACCACCTGGCCTGCTTTTTGGCATGCAGGTTTTGCTTTATTTACTTTGTTGAGTCAGGTTCTAACTATAGCCCAAACTGGTCTCACATGCATGACAGCAATCATCTTGTTCCAGCCTCTGGGACTCCAGACATGAGGCACCACACATACCTATCTCATGATCTCCCCACCCCATGTATATTTGCATGTGTATGTTACATATGCACATATGTGATGTTCACATGTGCCCACACATACATGTATGGTACAGAGGACAACTTCAGCTGTTATTAAGCAGGAGTTGTTATTCTTGGATTTTTGAGACAGTGTCCAACTGACCTGGGGTTGCTTGATTTGGGAGCTGCTTGTGTCTACCTCCCCAGACACCCCAGGAATACACTACTAAGCCCAACTTTTTAATGTGTGTTTTAGCAAATGCTGATACAGGAAGTATTTTTGACCGAGCTGTCACCCACGCACTATTTCATAATTTTTGATGCATCTACACTGTCCTTCTACATCTGGATCAATCTAAAAGGTCCTACAATCCCTTTGCCTGGCTGAGTCTTCCCCATCAAGAGTCCTTCAGGACTTCCTAGGCGGGTCAATGTCTCGTCTCTGTCTTTCCATGTCTGCTTCTGTGGTAGCCTTTACATTTTATGTATGCAACATCCCCCGTCTCCTTCAGCACTAGATTTTCTTTATTAGATTTTTAATATTTTTAATTTCAAGTTCCCACTCCTTCCCCTCCTCTCATTCCCTCCCCACACCCTCCCATCCCAGTCCCATCCAATCAGAGAGGGCAAGGCACATTCAGCACTAGATTTTAAGACCCAAGAAGTAAATTCCTCAATTGGCTTTTTTTTCTTCTCATAGGACAGTTCTTATGTGTTAGTTGCTCTGAGTATGCTGGGACTGGCCCAGTGAGTGGTTCTTGCTTAGTTTAAAATGTATCACGAATTTGATAGTATCCTATGCCTGCTTAAGTTCCTTTTTGGCAGTTTAATTTTATGTGCACATGAAATTATATTATTTTCTTGATTAACTTAATGGTGCTAAAGAAGATGAAACCCATTGGTCTTGCTATTAGGATAACTATCAGAAAGGGATCCTTTTTACAGTATAACCATTACAACATAGTGTGCACTTTATTTATTTTAATTCAACTGATAGTAATTTTTGCCTTGTGTAAGGACTCAGTTAATCAGTCTTCCCTAAAATTCCTTATCCTAGAGGTAAGAATGTAGACTTTGTGCTGCCACCCACATGTTGAGAACAATTCTAATAGGCAGTTGTCAGCATTCATTCAGTGCTAAAACTGACCTCAGGAAAAAAAAGAAGTTGATTTTAATTGTTTCAAAAAATTATAGTATGTTTTAGTTTCAGTGTTTACCTTTATTTAAAAAGATATTTTAATTCTTTTAAAGAAATTCTTTGTCCAGATCCACCACAAATTAAGAATGGAGAAATGCAAGGAGAAAGTAAAACTTACGTCTATAGACAATCTGTCACCTATTCATGTGCCACAGGCTTCGTCCTGGTTGGAAACAGTTCCATTTATTGTACCGTGAATGGTGATCAGGGAGAATGGAGCGGCCCAGCACCCCAGTGCACAGGTAATCTGTGCATTCCTCTTCGTGTACACAATCTCTCACAAAGTGTATATTTATGCATACTTACTGTTTGGATGGTTTTTTAAGACAAGTAAAATCTTGTGTTATTTAAGTCGCCAATCAACAGAAAAGTTTTCCTGGTAAAAGATAGCAATGTATTCTGGGTGGTAGTGGCTCACAGCTTTAATTCCAGCACTCGGTAGACAGAGATAGACAGTTCTCTGAGTTGAGGCCAGCATGGTCTACAGGGTGAGTTCCAGGACAGCCAGTTCCACAGAGAGAAACTCTGTCTTAGAAAAAAAGGTTGATATGTCTCTTTCCTCCAAAATATTATTAGGATGCAATATCCTGTATCTTTGAGACAGACTTGTAACTCCTTAACTAATATTTACGAGATGCCCTGGGTCACAGGCTCCTCAGTTGGCCCCTGATCCATTTTCAGTGTCTTTTTGTTGTTTCTTGTGGAGCTTTGGGGTAGAGGACCACCTGGAGTAGAGCGTCAGTCACTCACCTGGGTGTTGCCCTAACCCTAACAAGCTGCCTCTCCTACCAAGCCCAGGAAACTAAGCAATGCATGGACGACTCTAGCAGAGTAATGGGGTCACAAATCTAAGAGAGGTCAAAGATTTAGCCCAGTTTAGCTCTACTTAGTGCTTCCTGGGAGGGGCTGGGTGAAAGCCCCCCAAAGGCAAGCAGCGAGGAACAAGTCTGTGCCTTCACTAGCACGTTCTGAAGACAGTGAACGGAGTAGCTGATGGCATCGCTTTTATAGAAAAGCATTCTGTGGTCCTGATGTAAGCAGAGGAAGATAACTTTGAGGGGAAAATGGAGACATGTGTTATCTGTCACATGGTAAGATGTTATTTCAACTCTGTGGTTTCTCTCAACACAGAAGAAAAGCTTAAAACCTGCAATATTGTAAATCTCTTTAGTCATATATTGGTATAATTAATCCAAGCAACACTGATGTAACTTCTACTTTCATTTCTTACATATAAGACATTTAGGCAGTTTTATAACATCTAGGACTCACTAATTGAGAGAAATCCTGAAACATTCATCTTTCAGAGTCTGATTTATTTTACCTGGTATACTGGTCTCAGTTGTCTCATGTAAAGTGAGGCTGTGTGTGGGAATGCACAGGAGCAATGGAAGGGTGAGGGGGTGGGAAATATTATCATAACACAGGTCATATTTGTCAGATTATTGTTTTGAAAGTCATTGCTATGTACAGTAATAAGCACTAATAAGAATAACACAGCATTGTGAGGGACATAATAAGGACTGGTTTCCTAAAAGTCTTGTCTATGTGTTTTTGGGCGGAGAAGGATAATGGTCATTGAGCAAGGCATGACAAGGAAAGCTTTACTTGGCCAACAAGATTTAGCTATTTTTTAACTTAGAATTGTTTTCTTTACAGAGAAACCCAAGATCACAACAACAACTCGGAAATCAATAACAGTTACTGTTCCAACTACAAGAGTTCCATCAACGTCTCTAAAACCAACCACAGGTACAAGAGGTCCACCATTACCTCAGAAACCCACTACAGTTAATGTTCCAGGTACAAGAGGTCCTCCAACATCTCAGAAACCTACTACAGTCAATATTACAGGTAAAAGAGTTCCACCCAAATCTCAAAAACCTATCAAAGCAAAATTGCATCTATGGAAGCCCCACTAATGCCTAATAAACAGTAGCAAATGTTATAGCTACAGAAGACCCACAGATATCTCAGAAACCCGACACAGCAAATGTTATAGCTACAGAAGATCAGTTGACACCTCAGAAAACCAACTCAGCAAATTTTCTAGCTACAGAACAGCCACCAATACCTCAGAAACACAACATAGCATATGTTCTAGCAACAGAAATGTCTTCACCCCCACAATAAAGCCAATACAGTAAATATCCTAGTTACAGAAGACCCATTGCACCTCAGATACCCAACACAGGAAATGTCCCAGCTACAGAAATCCCACCAACACCTCAGAAATCTAATACAACAGTTGTCCCAGCTACAGACATCTCACTAACTCCACAGAAATCCATCACAGCAAAAAGTTCAACCACAAAAACAGCAACAGCTCAGATATCCCACATATCAAATTCTGTATCTGTGAAGAGCCCACCAATAGCTCAGAATCCTACCACAGCTAACCCTTCTGCTGTACAGACTGCACAAACAACCCAGAGATTTGCCACAGCAAAATCTTTAGCACAGAATCTGTGAGCAACGCGAAAGCCCCCATTTTCACACCAATGGTCGATTGCTACCCAAAGATTCACTTCTGCTCATATTACAGCAACACAGCGTGTGCCTGATAACGAGACAACCACACATCATCCAACAGGAACATCTGAAAAGAAAGAAAGGTCTACCTCAGGTGAGCTGATTTTGTTCACATTTCCTGTGTGCAGGTCTAATGTTTTGTGGTGGGAATTTAAGACTTCAGGGTTCCACAGTCTCCAACTGATTATGGTCACAGTGTTCCCTAGTCGTGCTTTGACTTTACTACACAATATAAGAAATATGTTGATATGGTAATTTTGAGTTTTGTTAGAATCTGTGGAAAGGGACTTGAGTGTCTGACAGTTTTTATTATAAGATTTATCCTTGTTTTTTGAGCCAGTCTCATCATGTAGCCCAGGATGATCTTGAACTCTTGATACCCTCTGTCTCTGCTTCCCAGATGCTGGCATCACAGGCCTGTGCCTCCATTCTCGGTTTGGTAGTTTTTGATCATAGATTATAGCCATTTATTCTCCTTTCAAGCGTTTCAAACTTGTTTCTTGTCATCAAGTCAGATAACAATAAATGTAAATATTTGCTTTGGTGTTCTAGAATTGTTGTGGCTTGTATTGACATTGGCAACTGTCCAACAGATTCAAATATTAGTGCTCATGCTGAAGTAAATAATGTATAATTGTGTTTATTATATATATATACATATATATGATTGGTTTTTTAGTTTATGAAAGTATTATAGCTGACTAATATATACATATATTAAGTTGTCAGCAAATGAGTGAAAAGTTAAAATGTTTAGTTTTATAACTGTATTAATTTCCCCTTTTATTTTTTAGGTGATGACCGTCTTATATATGGTAAGTTTGACTCACAGGGAGTTAAAAGAAATTACCATCACTATGGGAGGCCTAATCAGTATTTCTGGAAGAGAATGTTATCTTTTAACTGTCTGAGGAAAACTATAAAGATGCGGTGTCTATGGGCACCCAAGGGAAGATGGGTCCATGCATTTTACCAGCATGTTTTGTGGACACCGTTAGGCACCCGGTATGCTCCATCATATTCCCAGCAGTGTTCTTGTTCTAAGGAAGCCATAGGACAGCTTCAGATCATTTGGCCAGTCAGTCAGGTAGCACTGACTGCCCAGTGTGTCAGTATGCTGTCTTAGGGACAGAAGAAGCATAAAAGCAGCTGTCAATACAGTTTCTATCCAAAGAGCTGTGTAATTAACTGGCTCTTGTTTTAAGCTCTTGATCTAAATCTCCAGTTTTAGATCTCTGTTACAGTCCAGATGTGGCAGGGCTCATTCTTGATGACAGCTCCCTCCACCTCTAATAATCGTTTTCAGCAAAGTTCTCTTAAAATATATTCTGTCCTGGGTGGTAGCGCACGCCCTTAAACCCAGCACTCGGGAGGCAGGGGCAGACGGATCACTGTGAGTTCGAGGCCAGCCTGGTCTACAAGAGCTAGTTCCAGGACAACCAGTGCTACACAGAGAAACCCTGTCTCGATCCACAACAAAACCAAACAAAACCAAATATATGCTCTTAATGCTGATATAGTTGATGAGGGTAAAAATGTCAATGTTGAATTTCCCTAGCATTTGCTCAGGTTTTTTCTTTGTATGGTATTGGTTACTGCTATTTATTAACAAGGTCAACAAACCCCTGAACAAAATAGTAAGAGAAATTGTTAAGTAGCAATATAGCAAAGTAGCTTCCTGAAGTAATATGCAACTGAAAATACCCTCTTATGAAAAGCTGTTTATTTTAAAACTATGTGCTTACCAGTGATGTCCCTATTTCATACATGAATGTGTCCGCCAAGGGACATGAACCTGAAAGTGGAGACTTAGTTTCTAGTGTTACTTTTGCACTTGGTCTATGTTTAAGCTAAGTGTTCATTAGAAATAGTGCAGGAGGTGGGATTGCTTGTGTCCATTTTATATTTTATATAGAAATAAATATACTCTAAGCCAACAAAAAATTTTCTGATTTAATGCTTTGTAAAAGTGATGAGTTTAAAGCCCGAGTTTCTGTTACTTACTCCGTGGTGTTTGTGGAGATTTGAAATACTTATTTCATATTTTTTAAATAAATATAATTTTTAAAGTGCAATTCAGGCCTTGCACATATCAGGCAAAAGCTCTGCTGATGAATGGCACCCCTCTTCTCTAGTTCACACTGGAATTCTTCAAGTGTGTGCACTTCTTTTCAGGAGACTTTCTTCAGGGTATGTTGGGATTTACCTGTGTTTTGACAACTCATTCTTGCAGTCAGACAGCTGGCGAAAGTGTTACCTTGTAGATTTACCCTTGAATCAGGTCATTACCTCCCACCCTGCAGAGAAGATGGTTATTCCTTCATTCTCTCTCCATAGACAACTGGGAGTGTTTTTCACTTAATTTTTAGTGGGTGTACAGAGAAGTGAGTGTCCCTTGGAAGTTTTTATGTGTATTTATAATTACGCTTTATCCCTGGGGAAATGCTTTTGCCGGTTAAATGGTAATATACTAGAAAATTTGCAGTTTTCCCCACTTAATTCCTCTAAGTGAATGTAGAAATCATTAGAGTTCCTTAATTTGCCTTAGAAATGCCATTGGTGTGAATTTTAAATGTTTGGACACTGGCTCTGCCAGGGTCAGTCCCCACCCTATCTCTTTCTTGTCTTCCTCCACTAAGAATCTGTTCAGGCATTTTCCCCCTGATTTATCACCACACATGAAATACTAATTCCACCCACACACTGTAAATCAGTTTATTCTGTCTATATGTACTTTTTGCATTTATAAAAATAATTTTCCTGTACTTTTTACATATATAAAAATCCCTTTTCCAAATCTAACCTCGACAGTCTCAGTTATTCATGATGGATCACATCTCATGCTGCTAGATTCACAAATGAGACATTGTGAAAAGAAGAGGCAAGCCCACACGATGTGACAAGCACCATTTAAGGAACATCAGTTGGCAGAAACGTGTCTGACTTAATTTTTTTAGCCAGGAAATGATAGTCTATATATTAATCAGAACCTCACCTGATATACAGGCTTTTGAATAATTCAAAATATTTTAAAAATCATGCATTTATTATTATTATGTATATGTGGGTTTGCGCACATGAATGCAGAAGTGTTGGATCCACTGGAGCTGTTTGTGAGCCACTTGTGGGTGTTGGGGACTGAACTTAGGTCCTCTACAAGAGGAATGCTTGCTCTCAACTGCTGAACCATCTCTCCAGCATATCTAATATGTACATCCAAATGTTATGAGCCATCAAAATTGTGGCCTGAACCTTGGGTTAAAAGTAATGTTTTTGTTGCAATGCAGAACAATAATGAACAAAAATCTTGATTATTTGAGCATACATTCATGCTTTAAAAATAGCTTTTCATTTCTGCCACCCAGGCAGGTTCATGTTTATATTTTCTATCTTCATTTTTCCTTCAAATTCTAAGTTAGACATTGAAGTGATGAGATTCATGAAAACTTGGGAGAGGAAGGGAATCTCAAAACTTTGGAGCAATCTGGATTAAATTGTCTTTCTGAACTAATAGTGTGGGGCTGGGGGATCAGTTAAAGAAGCAGCAGGTAAGACGCTGTACAAGTCCCCCTGTTGTGGGAATCACTGATTCTCAAGTTGTGCACACAAGCACAGTTGTGCAACATCCGTGCTTGGGTTATTAGACGTGTCAGCTTTGCGTGCTGTTCTCTGGTCATCTGCAGTCCCCTTTGGAGTACAAATCAAACGAGTGGAGTCTAGGGACAGAGAGCGGGGCAGAAAGGAAAGGGGGGGAATGGCTGATGCGAGGAGACAGCAGGTGGAGCATTTGCCCATCGTGTGCAAGACCCTGCCTTCCATTCCAGACCAGAACCAAGCAAACAGCAGCAAACCGGGCTATGAAAGTAGTGGAGCACTTACCAAATTCCCTTTGCTGTTGTTCCTCTCCAAAGGGCTCTTGTAGTAAGGTAAATCCCGTACCGAGATGGGATTGTGCGTGCAGTGGCAGAGCCCTGAGAAGCGTACTCTGTAGGCAAAGTCAACACTGTTTGCTCTGTAGTCCCGCGGCAGCATCTTCCCCGTGGGGGAACGTCATGTGTTGGTTATGGGCTCTACAAACGGCCTCTTTACAAAACGTACATAGCTTTTCCCTGAGGTTCAAATTATTTACCTACCGAATGTGAGTGAATTCCCGGGTACCTTCTAGGTCTAAATTTGCATCTTTTGTCAGCACCTTCCACTGACTGATCAGCAAAGCACATCAGTTGGAGCAAGGTTATGTGGACACACTGCCCATTGCTCCCAGTGCTGTCAGGTCTTACTACTGAAGCACTGAGACGGCTCAAGTAATTTACTTGTTTCTCCTTCCAAGAAGACAAGTGAGTGACGTGCAGTATTTATTACTGGGTCTCTGGCATGAGGAAACCACATGCAAAATGCAATTCATTTCTCCTGTTTATTTTGACCTGGCCTTCTCACTGCTGTGTGTTACCATCCTGAAACTCCAGGGTAGGTCGTTGCTGGCACTTCTGTGTTACCAGACTTCCCCTCTCAAGGATTTGTTGCTGCTGATGTTGTAATTTATATCCCAATGCTACTCATTATTTTGGCACTATGAAAAATTAGGGTAAGCAGAAATTATGATGATTTAAAAAATTTATTCTTAGTTCTTTTTCTCCAGTTAGATTTGAATATTGTGTTAGTAAACAGCTGCCCAGCCCTATTCCCTTTTTGGAATGCTGTCTTTTCCCCCTATAATTACTACCCTGAAGGGACAGCCCTGCCTGGTCCCCAAGTATATTTAGGATAGTAATGACATTTCAAAGAAAAAATGATTGTAAGGTCAAAGTTCCTCTTTACGATACACGAGCAATATGCTCCTTTTTTGTTCTACTGAATTTAATTTATGGTAATACCTGTGTTTTGTACAGAAGTGAAGAAATCCAGGAAAAGCTGTCTCATTACATCTTGAAATTGCCTGTGGTTAAGCAATTTTCCACATAGTACATAGGCATGAAGTGTAGCCAACCAGACCAGTTCTGAACTTTGGCTGCCTACCTGAATCCCAAGTGTTCTGTTTACGGGCTGGGGCTTGGAGTTGTTTGACCTTTTTATCTTTAAGATGATAAAAATCCAAATCTACCTGATGGGTTTGACTGAGGATTATCACCTGCAAAGAGAATAAAAGAAAACATATGGCAAATATCCAAATGTTAGACAACAGCAGAGGAATAGCCAGTTTTATTTGAAATATCTGATGTGCTTTGAATGTCCATACTAACTATAAATGTCATGGTTGGCTCTCATATCCTGTAGTCTTGCGGAGTGATTTAAATTCATCCTGTTTTATTTTTGAGGTTTAACTACTCAGAAATCAAATAATTTGTATACACTTGAGTTACTTCTAAACTGACTTAATTCCTACCTATTTTAATCAATTAACTAATTATAGTAACTACTATTTTAATGTTGTTACTAAATCGCCCATTTTAATGGTTAGCTCAGACGATTTTTCTTTTTACCTTCTATATTTCTTTTCATTCTCATTAAACTAGCAACAGTGCTTAGGAATGCACTCTTTCTCTTTTGTTTTATGTTTATGGGTGTTTGACCTGCATGTATGTCTGTACACTGTGTGCCGTCAGTGCCCACAAAGACCAGAAGAGGCTGTCAAGTTCCCAGGAACGAGAGTTACAAATGGTTGTGAACTACCTGGCCGAGTATTAAACCCAGATCCTCGGGAAAAGAAGCTAGTGGCCTTAACTGCTTCATCTCCAGCCTGTGTGCATACTTTTATTAGAGGTTTACAGATTCTAATTTATCTGTAATTACTATACAAGTTCATCGAACGAGCTTAGGCATCTGCGGACTTTAGAAACATTGGGGCTTTCTCTTACCAGTCTCCCACATCCTAGCAGATGCCAAGCAATGGCTACCTTTAAAGGAGCAGTATTTTCTATTCTTCCAAAATAATGTATATAAAGTACATGAGTATTATTTAAACCACTAAAGGAGTCCACATTTTCTTGAAAATAGAGATAAATAAATCACACTTTTGTCTTATGTAATATTTGAAATTTCTTTTCTTAGATGTGATTTTTTTATTACTAACTAAGAGATTCCTTTTCATCTCTTTAAGTAGTAAGAATGTTGTCTTTTGATTATCTCATGTGAATTATTTTCAGTTTTTTTGAAATTGTACTTTCTCAGGCATGTTGTCCTCCAATATTTTCTGTTACTGATTCACCTAAAGATGACCACACAAACGTGTAGGCTTTGAATATAATCTTATCATCTTCAGTTGAATTTTAATTGTAGACTGTTCTGTAATATACATGAAGTAAGGCTAACACCAATTATGAATCCATTGCTTCACCTGTTTTCTTGGGCTTGATGTTGAAATACTTTAAAGCAAGTTCCATATGCAAA